AGATTGAAAACCTATATAATGTATCATATCATTATCACAGATTACATCTGAGATCTCAAAACAGCAAAATGAAAAAAAGGTAATTTTTCTTACAAAAGTAAAAAAATTACACATATGAAAAAAGTCTCTAAAGAGTTGAAGGAAATGAATACTTGGGCAAAGGCTTTGTTCTCCTGTCAGACATTTCCCTGGAACAAAGACTTCATAAACTACAGCATTCTCATTTCTTCTGTTATTATAGACCAAAATAATAATCTAAAGAAACATTGTATCAGAGAAGCACTTATATTTGTCATACCCCAGGATGCAGAATATACTACTCCTGCTGCAATTGTTGATGCAATAAATAAATTAAATGAAAAAATAAGTGATGCCACCACCGAATTCCCTTTAACACTAAGTAGAGAAAGCTCCCCTGATAAATCTTCATCTATTTCATTCACAAAAACACTTGAAGCTTGAGACTGATGATTTCAGCTTTACAGGATCATGTTCTTGTTTAGCAACTCCATTACTCTCTTAATTACACCTTGCTGTGACTGATAAAGACCTCTTTGCTGTAGAGTTTGGGACACAGAACAGTTATGCTGGAAGGGAGCTCTGGAAATCAGGTAGTCATGTTTCCTGTTCAAAGCAAGGCTAATGTCAAAGTGGTACTGAACTGCTCAGGATCCTGTCCAGTTGAGTTCTCACTACATCCTACAGAGCTTCAGTTCATCAGAGATTAATTCTCTGAAAGCCAGGAAACACAAAAAAGGAGGTATCACCAGTGCTATTGTAAAATTGCTTTGCTGAAGGTGCCAAAAGCCACAAAAAGTTTTCCAGGGTCCAGGCAGAATGCCTACACTACCTCTATGGGGTAGAAGGTTTCATAACAGCAAGATAGCAGAGCTGTGGGCCCAAGAGTTTGGCAGTGAAAAGTCTGGGTGCATGTGATGGAATTAAGGGTTACAAAAGCATTGGCAAAGATGGTGACAAATTATTCAAACTAAACCACTCTATGGTTCTGGCTCAGCATCCTTTTGCTACAGGGAACTATCTGCAAGTAAAAGGTATTTAAGGATGAGTTGAGTGTCTGATGATCAATGGTGGGATCAGGCATAGCATTCAACACCCCTAAGCAGTCGTAAAATTTCTCCATGTAGCATTGCCATAGAGCAGCCTCAAAATCTGAGGGGTCAGCAGTGTTTTTTGAGAACTTGCCCAAACACAGGCAGTTGTTGCTTTGAGGATCTCCTCTTAGACTCATTTTTTTCTTGAGCAACCTGCTCACCCTGCTGATACCTGTTCAGTGCTCCTGTGCAGTGTCCCAGCAGAGGATTGTCCCATGCAACCTGACTAGTTAAGGACAGAGCTGCACTTAGGTTCAAGTCCACCTGCTGGACTCCATAGATTCCTTATCTTGAGGTCCCCTTAGATTCTAGTTCCCATGAGGAATAGATGATGTTCAAACTCTATGGAAAAAGATAGCTTTTTCCTTCCTTCGTCCTGCTCCTCAGTTCATACTGGGAGACAGAAGAGCTCATAGACAACTTGTGTGGGCACAGGGTTCACTGAAATACAGCTTACTTGTATATGGGAGGAGAGACAGAAGTAAAAATGCTCCCAAAATATGTAAAATTGTCCCAAAATATGCCTATTGTCTTTATTCCAATGGTCAATACTTTTCAGGATACCATATTGAGCCACCATTCTCCTTTCCAGTTTCCACTGGAGTTCTTTTTTTTCTTTTCCATAACTCAAATCAACTTCTACTTTTCCACTCACTCTTCACAGGAATCATTAAGACCCTCATCTATTCATTTATTTTTATTCTAAATATTTCCTAAAGGGTTATATCATATTCAAATCCTGGTTTAGATATATATATGAGTATTTTAAACATGCATTTGCAATTAAATAAAACCCAATCCCTTCAAATCTGAGGAAGGTGTATTGCAACTATATTCCTATAGTTCTTTGATTTTCAGCAAAGTCCAAATTCATAATAGCTAGGTGTAAGTCAAATTCTGAGTCACTGACATCTTTTGAAACAAATATGGGAAACCATTTTGGTGAAGTATTTCTGTACAAGAAAATGTCATTTGCTTGCTGAACAAAATCCTACACTTCAGGATGTGTTAAATTCAGCCTCACCAAATAAGAGGTAGAGTTTAGTCATAAGTAAAGAAATTGCTGAGAAACTTGGATTAACTCAGAAACTACTAATAACAGCCACAAAAAATCCCCCATGATGAAATCTGAGTACTACAAGAAATGTCACGGGGTCTGCCCACACCCCCATCCCTGGAAACTGTATCTCAGAAGTCTCTTGCTCAAATGTTCCCAAGTTTTCACCACTTCATCCCTTTGTATAATAACATCCTATGGATTTCACAGTAACCCAAAGCAGCACAATGATTTCAGAGCCCTTATGCTGCAGCCACAGGACCTGCAGTGTACCCCAGGGTTCTGGTCCCACCCTCATCTGGGGACCTGGCCAGGCACTCTGCAGCTCCCATCTGCTGCACACAGATGGGCTTCCTCACACAGGAAACAAAAGCAGGAGGAGGGGGGCTGCCACACATCCTTGTGGTGCCCTGGTATGCCCTAGACAGACTGTGACCAGGGTATATACTTCTCCTCAGGCACTCAGGGCCCATACTCTAGAAAATGTCCTAGAAAATATGGGTTTTAAACTCAAAGGCCCTTCATAACTCTGCAGCAGAGCTGGTGTTCTGCTTTGCTCTAATTCGCATTGAGCCTTTAGCAGAGGAGTAAAAATACAGAAGCATGCTTAACTACTTATTTTTAAACATGCAACAGATATGCAAAAATTTGAATGTCTACACTATAATTACATAAATATATTTCAAACCAAAACATTTTAAAATAATTTATTCCCTGTTTCTGTTTAAGTTCTTTGCTAGATTGTGGCCAGACTGCAGGATTGAGCCAAAGTTGCATAAATCCAACCTTCAAAGGAATAAAACATTCACAAAGATTGTATTTGGTTAAGCAAATTTAGAAGAATGAAACCAACTATGAAGAAAAATTAGATTGGCTGAAAATTAATAAAGCACAGCTGGAATTATTCGATTCATCCATATTTGTTGCTTAAATGGCTCTAGGGCTAAGTTTTGTAGAAAGAAGATACTTCAAGACTCAGGGGTCAATTGCTTTTGGAGACAAATCGACCTACAGGAATACACTTGTCTAATTTGGTTCTTGCAGTGGGGCAAGTCTAAGAAATATATAACCAAAAAACCAATTTTGATTCCAGTGAGTGACTATCAGAGGTCAAGTTTAAGGTTCCCATAAATTTACATATATACACTAAAAGATTAATAACTTCTCAAGCTACTGAGTTTCTTTGCTAAAAGCAAAGGCAGATAAAATCTGAGAAGGAAACAACATATGTGCTTATTCCACATTCTGTTGGCTGGATACCATGCAGTCAGCTCACTGCATGTTGCTGTGGCTAGATCTGCAGTATTTCATAGGGTTTGGTCATACTCAGGGAGTGCAAGTAACACTGCTGCTGGCTCAGCTCCTAGAAGAAAGCTTCTTCAGATCATATGATCACAATTTTAAAACTAATTTCATGTGCAAATTCAACTCTTACATAGCTAATGGTGTTACTACTGTTAGTTATATATCCAGTCATATAATAATATAGTTTGCAATGAGGTCTTGTGAACACAGTTATTCATTCTAAACATAATGCTTTTCACCTAGGCAGGTTTTATAGATTCATACACTGGTATTTTTTCCTGTTCAAAATCAGGAATGTACTTTATTAAATGGCACCAAAATGGACCAGTATTAAAATAGTAAAAAAAGAAAAACACACCTAAAAATAGAAAATTGGTTTAGATATACACACACCAAAAACACACCTAAAAATAGAAAATTATTGTAGATATACACACTCCTTGAAGCTTGCATAAACCTCCCAAGAAATCTACAGAACTTAAGTCCAGAATTTACTTGGGAACATAATGAAAATTTCACTCTCAGGCTATACTGACCTTGAAAGATACAACAATTTTCTATTTTTGAGTTGCAGTCTTTTAAATTCAATCAAAGCAAAAATAGTATTTTCCAGTTGGGTAATTTTACCAGGGGTAAAAATGAAAAACTAAATTCATGTATTTCATTGTAAATTATGAGAAATCTGACCACTGTATCACTGATAAATGTATAGGAAATAGATACTGTTGTATGTAGAACAATACTTTCAATAAGTTTTGATTTGTTTTTCATTATTGCCAGGATCAATAGATATTTGTAAATAAATGATTTGTCAGGAAATATATAAATCCTGACTGAGGGTACATTTAGAAAAGCACTCTCTGGTGTATGGAGTAGGTTTCAAAGACTTAAGTGTTCAGTAGAAAAGAAAATACAACCACTTAAAGCTTTTCAGTCCTCTTTTCTTAGAGCCACATAAGTTTGGGATGTTTTCTATGTTTATCTTCTCAAGTCATGGAACTAATCATATTTCTTATAAGTATATTAAAAAAACATATTACATGGGAAATGTGCTGCCCTGTGACTTTCAAACTGCAAAGGCCCAGAAGTGTAACAATCACACAATACAAACATGAAGGAGAGACTAATTTTACTGTAGGTGCCCATGTGGGATTTTGTTGTGGGTTAGGTTAGGAGGGAGCTTTTTGTTTTGTTTCGGTGGATCAGTTTTTTTGGTTGGTTGGTTGGTTTTTCGCAGTAAAGCATTTCTTATTTGTTTACATGATTAAGAAACTCTGTCTCTTCACAAGCCATTAAATAAAGACAGCCTATAAGCTGGGGTAAACAACTGTCTAAATACAAAACTTCTCATTCAAAATTCTAGGTAAGTAACTTGGAGTGCATCCAGAGCTTTAGTGGAGTGAATTTGTCTCAAAGTAGAAATATTCTGCCGCTTGTACAACATCACATCATTTTTGTGATGCAGCAGGCTTAGACCCCACGTTTCAGTATTATTTGTATGCCCAAAGAGGCTTTGGTGAGATTACCTGTATGGTCCTCTGAGTGCCATCAATGGTGACAGACAACAAGGGTGAAGCCAGGTTCCACTCGCTGGTCACATTTAGTTTCATCCCATCAACTTCCACCTGTTGTGACACCAAACAAGGCTGTTACTATTGAAGACAGACAGAAAACTGATCTCAAGTTCATTACTGCATACAAAGCAGCAACCATTTTAAAACAGATGGCTCCCAAACAACCTGTCATGTTTACTGCTTCTGCCATAAAAGACAGGGTCCAACAACAGAGTCTTCCAGCTATCTCTGGGGAGAGGTGAAGGACCTGTGAACAGCTGCCTCTGAGTAGCAAGGTTTCAAGTGATTTCCAGCAAGTAACAAACAGCCATCCAACTTTTAAACCTATCTGGACATGCTACATTTACTGCAATTAGACAAGTAATGCATATAAATTCCAGTGACACCTTGCAACCCACACAACAGGGCTTGCATATAATATTCTCTCCAAGGACCAAGGAAGAACTTTTCCTATGCTTCTAATGAAGGGCTTTGCATTGTTATCTTAATTAATACGAGGCAGTAATTAATTCTTTGGTGTTTTGCCTCAAAGTCTAGAAAAACTTTGCAAATTCTGACATGTTTCTTTTCAATATACAGGTGATCAGAGAAATACAATTTCTGACTTGAATGCCAATATGCTTATCCAGAAAGTGGGTTTTATTTTAAATCATACCATATTCATTATGCAAAAATATTTCTAGGTGATGAGCAAAAAAAGTGTAGATCAGTGAAAAAAGTGTAGATCAGTGCAGCTATAATGACACTTCTATCATTCTTTTGTTGTATTATAGTGTTTAAAAACACACATCACACATTCAACTCTGTAACAGCCTCAGAGAAAGAAATGGTTATGAAAAAAAATATTACATATGGACTAATGTTATTGGTAGTTAATATCTATGGCATATTTTGAACAGTCATCATACTACTGAAGGTAGGTAGCTATTATTTACTATATTGCATACATTCTTAATAAACTAGAAAAAAAATTCAACACATTTAGAATAAAAGCTGGGCAAACTAGAAAAAAAATTCAACACATTTAGAATAAAAGCTGGGCACACCTTTTGCAAAATAAAACTTATAAAGCCTACTCTTTTAGGTCTCAGACTTATATTATTTGATCTAATAAGAAGCATCTTAAAAGAAATCCGTAACAGAGAAGTGCAGAGGAACACTGTGTAATTTGATAAATTTATTTCAGTTAAGAGGAAAAAGTTCTGGCTTAAAAAACACTCTAATTTTATAGACTTTAGTTTAGAACACAAAGTTTGCCTTAGTGATACAATCTATGCAATTTCCATGGGCTTAGACTATAAATAAAGTTACATGTAAAGAACAAGAAGAAAAACAAGTCATTTATAATGGTTCACCAATAGGCCAGATTAGCTGGCATGCTTCAGGTACTTTACACTGCTCCAGTGATGCAAACCAGCCACAAACCTGGCTTGAGTTAAGCCAGACCTGCAGCTGGTTTGCATTTCCAGAGCACTGCAGAGCAGCTGGAACCTCTGGTGAACCCAGACCACTCTCAGCAAACGCATATCAGCAAATACTGTCTTTATTGAGAACAGGAGAAACATCTCAGAAAGACTTTTCCAAATGCAGAAAAGCAAATCCAGTGCTCTGTCTCAACCCTCTGTGATTACCAACTGAACTTTGGTAAGACAATTATTTAAATACTTTAAATGTCACTTTTGCTAAAAGACATTCTATAAATGTCACTATTGCAGAAAGACTGTCTTCACTGGAGTCTGAATCAGAAAACATCACTTACCATGTGCCTCCAGGGATAGAGGTGAGACACCATCAAAGCAGACCAGGCTACTGGTCACCAAAAAATCCTTCAAGTATACACCATACTGCTTGTGGCAGTGTAGGATTTACATGCAGCCTCAGAGAAAATCTTCAGCTGCTATCTACAGTTCTAGCAAAGGGTGTTCCAGGGGCAGGATGCAAGTCAATACCTCCACAGCAAACTCAGTCTAATCATCAGCTCTTTTGTCACTGTACAGATGAGCAAAAGAGGAGTAAACCTCTTTGTCACAGTGGTAAATGACCTGTCCAAAATCCCTCACAAGGGTCTATACAAGTCTCTCCATTCTTGATTCTCACTTACATTAATATCAAAACATTTCTGGTGGAAACCACCCTGAAAGGAGAGAGCAAGCAGATGCCAAGTCTAAACAAACCATGGCATACCAGGCTGTTTATGTGCAATAGAGAAACCAGCAGATAATACATTGCCACTATTATGGTTTCTCTATTCAAGAAAGAACAGAGGGTCAGAGGAAGGGTTATATGAACTAATGCTTATCCCATAAACTGCAGCAGACTTCTCACAGAATGGAGCTACAGGGTCTTATCTGCCTTCACCTGCAACTCACCATGGTATGTGCAACTGAGGAAGATCACAGAAATCACAGAATATTCCCAGTTGGAAGGGTTCCACAAGGATCATTGAGTTCCACTCTAAAATTAATGGTCTATACAGGGATAGACCCCACCACCTTTGCATTATTAGCACCATGTGTAACCAACTGATGATGTGAAGCCAAGAGAATCCCAAGGAAATTTGGCTGCATATGCTCCAGTAGGTAGGATGACAAAGACAGGACATCAAGATATCAGAGAAAATGAACAAGGACTGAGGGTAAGATATTTACTGTGTAGTGATTCTGTTACTTTTACTACAAATGAGGGAAAGGGCAGGGGTGGAGGGGAAGATGGGACACAGTGTACCAAAAGCAGATGGGGATTGAAATCAAACCAATACTTTATCTAATAGAGTAAACCTTCGTTCTGCAGCTCAACAGCCAACAGCTTAGCAAGGCTAGCAGGTAGAAACAGGGGAAGAGAGAAGATGGCAGAAGAACTTGTCAGAAGTTTCCATTTGCTTTCATTCCTTCTTTAGCAATGGGTATCATAACTGAACCTAATAAATTCTGCAATAAACCCAGGACCTTTTTGATTTAGGATTGGGGGTGGGGGTTCAGGGTGTGAAGGGGGACATGGGGATTAACTAATGACATTATATTGACTACTTCCCATCTTACTTTGTTTCTTTGCTCCTAAGACAGCCAAGAACAAATCACCATTCAATGGATGCTAATACTTGAACTGCAGGGAGAAGATCCCAGTCAATTCACTCCTGCAGTGGGTCATGTTGTGCTTTACACCACACCTATATAGTGTAGCTTTATCCTTAACTCCTCAGTTCCAAGTATACACATATGTATGTGTCTGTGCATCTACAGTAACTATGTTTGCATTGCTGCACTACACCCACGCGACATAGTGGTGGTGAATTATCTCTTTTTTTAAAGGTTTGTTTGTCCCTATGTGAGGACATAAAAGATAAAAGCAGCCACAGTCCTTCACAATTATTTCCAATTCAAAAGCTACTGTAAATGAGCTCTCAGAAAGAAGAGTGACAAGTCCAAGGCATAATGCTAGAAAAAGGTCAACAGCTTACCCCACTGTCATAACTTTGCAGACTTTTGCTGGCATGCACCTGAACTACACAAGTAGCAGCCCCTTCACCTCTTGTGGAGTGAGTTCCTGATGTTCAGCATGATATGTACCAGCTAACCAATAGTGCAAAGAGCTGCAAAGCATAATCTGCATTCGGTTTCCTTTAGAGAACATAATTTGGCATTCTGTGTGCATGTCAGGCAATTAAAGAAGGCAGCACAAGCCTGAGTGTTATAGCCCTGTTAATTTACTAATGCAAAGTCTCGCGTACATCTGGCACATGTCACTTCTTTTCTCCTGGAAATGAAGGTGGTTTTCCAGGAGACTAGAGGGCAGCTAAAGCATTTGTTTCCTGCCTGGTCCTTCAAAACATTATGCCTGAAGTTCCTCATGCCAGCCTTGAGTCTGACTAACTTAAGTCGACTGATTTAATCCCATGGTTTCAATTCTGCCTCTCAGCATGGCGTTTAACTCCAGAGTCCTAGCCCTAATGGCTTGGCTATGCCACCCTTAGCCATAGGACTTACAGCCCTTAATTCTACCTCTTGATATAATGGAAGTGATGGCATTCTCTAATCAATCAGATCTAGAAAATGAAAAATCACCCTCTGCAGACCTGCCTTGCTGAAGTCTCTCTCTGACCAAGACAGCTGCCCATGAAGATGCACTTTTCAGGTAAACAGACATTACTCTTCACAGGATATACATAAATATTCACTGTCATAGCCTTCACTCCCTTCAACTGCCATTAATCTAAGGGACATCCACTGGGCAGCAAGGGCTCTACAAGGTGAACCTTAAAAACCTTCCTTGCAGGAAGGAACAACAACAGCAAGCATGACTCTTGTAAACATAAGGTAGCTTGTATGTTTGAGGGCTGTTCAAACCTACATAAAGCTCTCCTCTTCTGTGGAAAAGCAACTGTCTCAAGCAGAAGACTCCTTACCTCCATCACTGCTAACCACACCATCCATGCCAAAACAGCAAGGAGATTCTTTACATTTTTATAAATCAGGTAAAGGATAGGTATTGCTCCTTGTGCAGAAGAGGGGGTGACCAGAGAGCTGGTAGCAGTGTGGCAATAGAAGGTCCAGCCATAGGCAGCAGTATTCAGTAACAGTCTGCAGTGACCTCAGACTAAGCCAGAGCTGGACAAAACAGTTTTTGGTTCTCAGTTTTCACAAAATGTATTAAATTCTCATCTAATCTACTGTCCATCCAACAGAGAAGCACATGGGAATGGAAAAAGCAAGTGAAAACTGTCCTCTTTCAAAGCCTACCTTTTGCAGCCCCATGCAATCTCAAGAATGTGAGGAAAGCCTTTATAGGGCTGATGAGCCCAAGACTTCCTTTAAAAGCATGATGCATGAAACCCCAGGCATTTTGTAAAACATTTTGCTAGTTTTTAATGTAAAAAATAAAAAATAAAAATCACAGCAGAAGAGTTCAAACACTATCTTGCATCTATATATTCTCATAGCAAATAATCACAACACACTTCTTTATCATGAAAATTACTGGCTACCTGGAGTCTGTAAGAACATGTGGTAATTTGCAGAATTGTCTTGGAAATTATTGGGTCTTCTTGTACAACT